TAACCGAAAAGCGACCGGAGTGACGAGTTTGACCTGTGTTTTAGAAAACAATCAAATTCCTAAATATATTTGAATACATCAAGGTATTTTTATAATACCTATTAAATGATGGGGAAAAGTTAGAAGGGTGTAGAGAATACAATAGCGTCAGCAGAGGGTGTCAAACACGCGACCTGCGACGGCAGGCAAAAACACCAGTTTCTGCCACTGCGGCTTCTACGGCTCGTAAATCGAGAACAAAAAATCGGGAGAACATGCGGTTTGCGCCCTCCTTCATTTGAAAAATACCCCAAAAACATATATTTTTTCGTGAAAATTAAAAATTAGACCCTTTTAGCCTGCCCGATTTGAGATGAAATCACCCACTGTTTTTATACCACCATGCCTCACAGTTGATTTCAGCTAGCGCGTCCCGACCTGGGTGCGTTCTAACGTCGGAGGTAATCTGTGGCACGTCCGTTGGGGAGACGGGGGTTGTCATCTCGGAATATATTAAAGCTAAAATAGTACAGTCAGCGCGGACGCCATCAAATGCGATACCCGAACAAACACGTGCCGCCGTGCAGTTCACCGAGTGGCCGCTGCGGGAGAAAATGTCGGCGTTGCGATCGCCTTTTGTTCGGTTCTCTAGTACGGATCGGAGCCACTTTTTCAAAGTAAGCTCTATGGCAGTTTCGTAACTGAGTTGTTCTAGTAACGTCGGTATCGGCACTCCGTTCCCTGATTTACCAGTGGGCGCCGCCATCTTGGTGCTTAGTGCAGAGCAGACGCAAGTCGTCATATTCCAAGAATTCGACTTCCTCAGCTTTACATACGGTGTCAGGAATCTCACGTTATATTGTTTTGGGTCTTTCGCGAACTGTTTTAATATCTCTGGAAGACAGAAATGCGTCATTTTGCGATTTCAGGTAAAGCGTCAGATAAACTGGTAACCCTAATTTTGAGTGCCAAGACGGCTAAGTGTCCTTGCTCTGAGGCGTAGCTTATTTAGTGGCTCTAGGCTGGACCATCTGCAGAGTCGCTTGACTGACTTTTCAAACAGGTCCCTTACAGCTTGGAAATTGCTGGTGATACGCGGAAGACGGCTATTTCATAACAACGCCTTTTCGCACATACGCACACAAAACGGTAAATCAACCCACGAGAAGATGTAGGTTATGCAGGACGCCGTCCGTCATTTGAAAAAGAAAAAAAAAGAGGAAAAAAAGTTAACGAAACAATCAAAAAACCTTTCAGTCGAACGGCTTTTGATAACATTGAGGAAATGAAGGCCACCTAGCCGAATGGTTTATCTTTCTTCCAAGCCGGTTTGTTCTGTCCACCTTATGAAACACCTCTCTGTACACGTAACTCCGCGTAGAGTGTGGGGAACGGTTCCAGGTATTGATGTTTTCGCTCGCAGTGTTGCCTCTTCAAGAAACACTGAATGGTCGAATAGACTTCTATGAAAACCGGAACGCTTTATCTCGTTGAGTACCAGCGGCGCGAACAAAAATTACGTACGAGCTGGGGGCCTGCGGGCTCGCTGCGGTAATTAAAAATGCGAGTTCACGTGCGGATGACCGGGTGTCTGGACAAGAGACAGGATGTGTAGGGGTCCTTTTCTTTTATTGTATTTTTTTATTGTCGAGCGATTTGTTTTTGTTCTCAGTCCCGTATATCTGGCATCGTGTAAAAAAGCAACGGGTGAGGGTGCGGTAATAATGAATGACTTCAACAGATGAGTATACGTGGCAGAAAAACAACAAAAAACAAAAACAAAAGACGAGTCGTCGTGCTCTTTTGAGTTCAATAGAAGGGTTTACACAAAAGCGCCTTTGTGTCGCTTTGAGGATGTCGTTCATCGTTTCACGGGGAGCTCGTAAAGGGCGGCAGGAAATGAGAACTCGCAGGCCAATTGAGCTATATGTATGCTAAGCTTGAAATGAGAATGATGCACCGAACTGATAATGATGACGAGGCGTTCTTTGCGGGTCCGGGAAAATGTATTCGTTAAGAATATGGTGACGAAGAAAAGTCACAATGTGGCCGCAGTCGATCGGCCCGAAGCTCATTTCAACTCTAGGGGTGAGATTTGGGCTGTTTGTAAGCCCTTGTAATGCCGGATGTTAATATGAACGCGTGGGATGTGGTTGCTTCTGAGGTTGTTTTCAAAACACTTTTTTTTTTAACATCACCAAACTTTTCTTCAGCTCACTTCGTTACAACAAGCATGTTAACATTCACATCTAATGTTTGAAGAACGAGGCACTATGGCTTTTTTAATCATCCTTATTCCTCACGTGTGTTTAAGGTGAAGACATAATTTACCGTAAAGTTTTGACCACACATAACACGTTACAAAAGAAACTATTATGCACATGCTTTTTTAAAGCATGCAGCTATGAAGGGAAATGCGCTGAAGCAAAATGGTAGGAGATCCGCCTACATACAAAAAAAACACATATTTCATCTAACACAGCCGTGACAATGTTACAACACTCAGTACTCGAGGACGCACGTTTTGCAACTTGACTCTTACGCTTGTCAGGAGTTCATAAATTAAGCAGACAGAAACTCATTCTGTTTACACTGATTCCACGTTATCATTGAGGTATCAACCGAACAAAGTACAATCATTAAATTTGCATCGACGATCCCAATCGCCTAACGCTCCCTTTTCCACTCTGGGCAGAACGCCCGCATCGTAGTTCCTTCGCCGCAGTCCTTCGAACTACACCAAGTGTCGACGACGGGCGTTCCACTGACCGCCGCAGCTGGTCAAGTGACCTCGGGGGCTTCACTTTGACTCACTCTGAATTCTCAAACGACCGGCGAAATGCACGCATCTCACTTCCGCTACAACCTAAACACCGTTCCATTGAACTCACACGCTGCCGCTCGGCGCGCACAACTGACCGCCTCTTCGTCGCCCTCAGAAGTCAAGAGAAAGTCGTTTCTTTGAATGCCAATGTTAAAAGAACAAATTCACACGAAAGGTTCGCTCGCCCGCGGTGAGAAACGACTCCGTCCACCCCATAGCTGACAGTGCGGTGGAAGCTACGTGCTCGTGGAACCAATCAACGCCCTCGTTTTTCATCACCTGACCACCCTCTTTGGGCTTGAGAGCGTGACCACGTGACGAAAGATAGTAGACGTGTGACTGGTCTAACAGGCACGTAGCTACCACCACACTGCCAGCTTAGCTGGCAGTGTGGTGGAAGGGTTATAGAGAGAGAACGCGTCGGACGGTGCTTAGGGTTGTGGCGAGCGTGCTCTTCGCCCGCTGCGTATGACCTGGCCGACTGAACGCACTGAGACCACTGAGACAATGAAACGGCAGTGCGTAATGGAGCCACGCAGCCCTTCAAGTCGTGAGGGGCACTGGTGCGCGCCCCGAGTGCCGCACGGAAGTCGACATCTTGGTACGCCTTCCCCACGGAAAGACGATCGCCTCACCGGCTGGGAAGGCTTCACCGGAACGAAGGCTGTTCCCTTAGCACGCGGGGTTATGAACGCTGCAGATGGGCGTGCGGCGAATAAAGGCGTGAAAACAGCGCGTATTAAGCTGGACTGGTTCGTTCACGACTGCAGCAGTTGGAAGTGCGCAAAAACCTACGACCAACGCTTTTTTTTTTCTTTACCGCCTAGCGCGTGAAAGTGCGAAAATTGTGCCTACATACGCTTTTTTGTTGTTGGCTTCGCAAAGCTTTAGTTATCCGTATTTTGGTTTTATTTGTAAATACGTTGTCTTCGCTCCATGCTATTGCTTGATCTTTTTTTTTTTTTTCGCATATTGCTCCGTTTATGCCATGTGTTTCAAATGATTTAAACTTAGGCTAAATGTAGGTTACGGATTTCATCTTTTGTAGCGTAGTAACAGTTTTTATTTTCTTAGGGATTTAAGTGACTCAGAGAACTGTACTTATTATCTCTTTAAGATTGCCATAGTCTGCTTCCCTTATCTGTTTAATTTCTGCAATGCGGGGGCAGTCTGAGGTTTGGAACCAAACATGCTCCATTTACGCCTTAACTCAGTTGACTATTCACATAACTACAGATGTCTCTATTTTTTTTCTTCTAATAATAGACACGGAACACAACTGAGCGCGAGAGGAGTCGAATTAGGCGGTGTACATAATCAATAATATAAAAACAGCATTCATGCACTTGTAATAAAAATAAAGATAACAGTAAATTACGCGGCACAGTAAAACACAAAGCAAAAAACAAAACACACACAAAAACACAAATTTACACCTCAGACAGTATAAATTTGTAAATGTTCTTGCCGCTCTGAGGTTAACTTTATTTTCCTTTGGTTCTTCTGGTCGTCGTTACTTACTAAGGTCTTCGAAGAGAACTAACTGTTGAATGTCGCACTATAGAGTATGTACATATACTCTGAGAAATTCCTGCTGCTGCGGGCGCACACCTAAACGACACAATTACTACGAAGAACGCAAGCGAACTAGTCACTGCGTTGCACAGAATGAATGTATACCTAATCACGAATATGAGGTAGCAGTTGGGTGTGCGAAGGAAAACTGCGCTAGGACACTCAAAACTGTGATGTCTCAAGCTCAGTGTTCTGCAATGTACATTGCAATGTTTTAAGGAACGCGAGATCAATCTTCTTCTCTAAAATGTCTTTGAAGTGCTGTTAAAAAGAAAATTATTGTAATGAGTGCGGATTCTGATATTAGAGCGAATTCTGCGACCTTCTTTCTTTGTTAGTTATAACTTATACCTGGAAAGTGGTGGAACAAAAATTCTGGTGGTCTAACGAAAGAAAGCCCCGCTTTTCTTATGAGGCTGGTTGACTCCCGGAAGGTGCTGCGGTGAGAGCCTCGATGTGATGCAACGTTAAATTTGTTATAGACAGATCGTCGTCTTATTACGAGGAACAATCGGTGAATAACCGAACAGGGCGGGTGCACTGCGTTTCTTTTGGGCCAGTCATCGAGTCATACCTCACGCTTTATTGAAGACCGCTTTGTCTTCCCGCAGGCTCTCGGACCATGCCCAGGAGAGCGCGGCGGTGGTGGTGGTGGACGCTCATCCTGGCCGCAATGTACCTGACGCCACCAGTCCTCGCAGGTGAGGCGCACGTCATCGCAGTACATCTTGGGGGGCTATATATATGCATGACGGCAAGACGAGGCGGGATAACAGGACCGGGACATTGTCGCCTGCCGCGATTGATCAGCGGCGTGGCGCTGACCAATCCTTGTCTCGTGACCCCCTCCCAACACCTGCTATAGTCACTGACGAGATGAGAACGGCAGGGAGTTCCTTGAGTTGTTCAGCTCCCAGCGCGCTTCCTAACTTCGATAACGGTTCGACGACTTGTGAGCCTCCAGCGGACACGCACAGCCAAGCCATAGCACGACGGAGCGAAACAAGCGCGTCCTGGTGGCAGGGTCTTTGAAAGAGACACCCTGGCGTTTTCATCCATTCAGTGACTCTAGTTTGTTTAAACCTAATAATTACTGCATTCCCACGCACAAATCGCCTCGGTGTGCACAGGAAACGAAGCTACGCCTTTTAGGCTTTACGGTGCCTTAAGACACAGGCAATCTTAAAAATACGCCGGCGTTTATATAGATATTGTTGTGGAACTCGAAGGCTCGCAAAAACAGTGCTAGCTGCGCAAGACGAAGGTTCGCAAACTGCAAAAGGACGAAGACAAGAAAGTGCGTGCGTTGGGGAGTGGGCGACAGTAGGGCTTGAGGGCGGAAGCCGATCCAACAAAGCCTTTGACTTGTCTTCGGTCATAGAATTATATATCAAAATGTATTAAAAAGTTTGTTGATGTTTTGTTAGAAATGAACTACCGGTGTTCTCATATAAGCGTTGCTGCCGGAATCACCAGGAAAGTAAAACAAAACAAAAGGTAGGTGCCTCTATGAACGGCGCCGTGTTCTACTAGGTTTTTATTTAATTAAATTAGTTTGTGCGACGGATTGTAACGTCTCACTTAAATTACCGTACGCATGATTTAATACACAGTTTATATTATATTCGGCAATAACGTAGACCTGTATTTTAACCATTCCGATGTTAGCCTGAGACTGAGGCAGGAAAAGAGGAAGTTTCAATCGGAATGGTTAATTTCCACCAGTTCGCCTGCGCACTCACTACAATACCTGTATTTTATTTGATCGCTTTATCGATAAGGCTTTGTTTTTGTGATACTTTTACAGGTTCGTTCACACCCTACTTTATATATGATGTTGCACAATTCCACATTGGAAATATGCCTGGAAACGGATATAGAAGCTCTAGAAATGACAAGAGTAATTGAGAATAAAGAATGACAGCTATCAAAATTGTGAACAACAATGCAGTATTTTATTAAGCGTGTTCTCGTGCTAAAACATTGAGTCACATAATAGTGTGTCAGAAATAGAAAAAGGAATACAACGTTAGCTATATGCAACTTAAAAATTTTAAATGCAGGATAAGAACAAATTAGGGCCGACCGAACATTCTTTCTTATCTTTTAGTCCATCAAAGTATGAATGTTCAAATAGTAGGTTCCGTTTTCAAGTGGAAAGTTTTGCAACATTGTCAGAAATGCTTTATTTTCAATAGATTCTGTAGACCTTACTTTATAATTCAACGTAATCCCCTTCGATGTTAAGGCAACTGACATATCATGACGTAAGATTTTAGACATCCTCCTTAAAGCGAAATACCGCCTGAGCTTCGAGCCAACATTTTTGGCACGCAACATGAACATAATTTATTTTATTTTTTTTTTTACAACTGAGTGTTTTTGTAACGATTTCGTAAAGTAATGATTTTGAAATACCGGGGACGTGTGCTGCAAGGTCAGGAGTCGTAAAGCGTCGGTTCTCCATGAATATTTATTCGCTTCCTCCGCCAAATTTTTCGTGACCCGAAAACTAAAGCTACTGCCTTGCAATGCTTCATGAAGGCATGGCCACCCTTTTAGAAACATTCGAGCTCAATTCTGCCCAATTCCTTCGCTCACTGAGCTTACCCTAATATTACCGCAAATCTGTCAATAATATTACGCGTTCTTACACGTTGTGTGTTATTACGTGTGTATACCATTCCCTACTGAGAGTCAACAATTGAAACCCTGAAACATGGCGTGAAACTGGAGCCAGGCACGGATGCATAATATATTCTGACCTATTGGAAACATCCGGATACTCAGCGTTCCCACTTTGTATCACCAAAAACTAAGTTCTAGCCTAAAGATAGGGGTTACTAGGAATAAAAACTTTCTGATAATCCTTAATCGTCTTTATAAATAAAAATAGTATTAATTTGTGTCCCACCCGTGGCTCCAGCTAGGTGTTGGGAGGCGGTCTAGCAAATAACAAATTATATTGTCCACAAACGCTAAAATATAATATCCCTATTTGGATTTGAACAAAATGTCAATAAGCAAAACTCGATCATTGTTTTCTCTGGATGTTTATGATCATTAGTTACATTTTATGTCGTTGTATTTGGTATGTGCTGAACTATTGCTGACCTTTGTATATTGCATTTCCTACTGTGCTCCCGTCGCTTTGCACTGTAGGCGGTCAAGGATACGTCAAGCTGCGTCTGCAGCTTTTTTCCTCAATGGCCGCTATCAAATTGTGACGAAAATGAAAGTCTCTTCTTCTTGTTTTTCGTTTACTTTTCGTCTTTGTTTCCTTCTTCTTCTTCATCTTCTTCTTCTCCGTCTTCCTCTTTTTCTTATTATTATCATTAGTCGTTGAGTGCATAATTTGGTAAGGAATCTTGGACATTACGGGCAACACCATGCAACTATAACAAAAATAGATGCATACTGACGTAGTTATTTACAACCTCTACATAGATAAGTTTTTTTTTTTTATGGCACTGTTCCGCGCTTACGAATACAAATTGGAATTGCACATGTCTTCGCTTTACTTCAACATAAACATGTTATTTTCTCTCTTACGGTAATCACAATTTTGCAAGGCTCTCGTAACTTGGAGTATACGTGTACACATGTTGACGCGTGAATGTACAAAACACACTAAAAGAAAAGCTATCAACTTGCACCCTTTTGTCTCAAATAATAATGCACCCAAAAAAATCAGTTCTATGTATGGCGTCGAACAGACCTCCCCATCTTTTAGGAGGGGCTTGATGACGGTGGCGATATAACTTATTAAGCAGCTAAAGTACTTATCAAAAACTACAGAAAAAGAAAACGCCGAGGTTTTGCAATAGGGCCAAGGAAAACCGGATTACGTGTCGTTGTTTTGTTATAGTCAGTAACACGTACGTACGTTAGCTATATGGATAAGTTGTACCACTCGACTATCAAGCCGCTCGTGAAAGTCGGTGCGTTCGGGTCGACGTCAGTGCGCATTGTACGTCGAACTGAAGTTTAGGGTGTCTAAAATGGGACAAGGGATGTAAGAATATACACTTTTTTTGTTTGTTCTGAGAGTGAATAGTTACCGACGGCTTAAGAAACGCAGGGTGTGACTTATCATCCCCCGTGTTGCTTCGCCATTCCTTCTCCTCGTTGTTATTAGATACTGCAGTTATCCTATCGGCTGCGGAGTGACAGTAATATAACATCGTAAATTGACAACGTCACGCATTTCTGAAGCTGAGAGTGTCTATATTTGTAGACAATATATTGCTAATTCTAATCATGCTGCTTCGTCGAGGTATAGTGTAGGGAATTAACGAATAAAATTACTAGAAAGTAGCTGGTTCTAGGATATGGGGCACACTTTTCCAGTCCATCGAATAAACACCGAATTGAACGCGTGCGTCTCCGAGAAGAACGAGGAACTGCTGTGGCCTCCGGCTAACGTGCATCGGCCAACGAGCATTGACACGACGAGACACGACCGCGTGCTGAGCTTAGCGCATACTTCTAAAAAGAAAGAGAGAGAGAGAGACAGGGAAAGAAGGGCAAGGACAAAAGTTCACCAAGTTGCTCAATATTCTTGGAGGGCGCCGGTCGCGCTGCTGAAATGGAACGAAGATGCCTCGGAGAGGTGCGGACTTCATCATTCGTGTAAACTGAGAGCCGAGAAATCGAAGGTCAGTAGGAATACTCCGGCCGCCGGATATGAAATGACATAACTGAGACTTGCACCGGGCTGGTCCACGTAATTAACAAGTTTTAAATGCAAATTTAGTTGATATCTTAAGAACTGGACGACGAGATATCATCGGTCCAGCTTTCTGCGAGTCAATGACTGTTTACACTCTAATAAATCTTGGGCGTCGTCTTTGACCTGAAGCACCTGGAAGAGCCAATCACTGCAATGCACGGAGGCTGCTTGGCGAATGGCGAGACTGAAAATATCTGAAGACCTAAAATGACAGTCTGCGCAGTGGCGCTCATCACTGTGAAATGTCACGCTCAGGGCCATAAAGCGGGGACTGCTGTTTTTAAGACTAATATATTATCACTTTCATCGTTTGCTTTGCTTTCTCCGTAAATTGTGGCGATTGTCTCTCCTAAGTGCTTGGCAAAAAAATACAGGGTGTCACAAAAAAAAAAAAAATTACAGGGTTTGTTTTACCGCAAAAATAAACCGGGCATCACCGGACATGGAGCCATCGTTGGACATGGAGCCCATTTTTGCCCGTTTTGGTTTTTGGTGCCATAGAGCCCGATGTATTTGAAAACTCCGCCGGCCGCCATTTTCCCATTGAACTTTCCAGAAAATCACTTATAACTTTTGAACAAGGTATCGGATCGGGCTGAAACTTTGGCATCTGGTTGTGACCTCTAGCGCTACCTTCGGGCGGAGAATGAGCGTACGAGTTTATTTTTGCGGTAAAACAAACCCTGCAATTTTTTTTTTTTGTGAAACCCTGTGGATGAACTGGAAGTGTACCCTCATGCATCAACAAACCAGAAGGGCTTTCTCGGTGCTAAGGGGGTCTTGGTTTCGGTACCAAATGGCATTCAGGAGGCCTTGTCGTCTCATGAAAACGTTGAAACTAAAGAGAAAAAAAAAGTTGTTTGCAGACTATCCGTTCCAGAATGGGGCTCAGGGCTCGTCAAGCGTCGTATTGAAGCTTTTTCTCTGCCACTGCACCAGTAAACATAATTAAGATTCACCAACTAGCTT